TAAAAGCCCTGAGAGACTCACACACACAACTTCCCCCCCCCCCCCCCCAAACTTGTGATATAGACACGTTCTTGTAATATTGCTGCCTAGTTTGGTCTCTACTTTTGCTAGCAGTAGCACCTATACAGTGATCCTCATCCTCTTCCAGAAAACATATTTGGTTTATAGAACCCAACAGTACAGTTATAAGATAATAGTGAGATTTTTTTTTTTTTTTTTTGCGTTATATAAAAATATGACACAAGCGAGGGTTTGTCCTTGTCACCTTGTGATTAAATACATGGGACATGTTTCCTAAATTGGTTGCTTTAATTTATTTGCTTATGCCTATATTAAAACTATTGCCATCCATATCATGTTTTAAGACAATTCGGTTTCTGCAAAATGGAAGCTAGAGAAAATGAGCCGTCCCCCCTTTTGTGCCGTAATTAAGTATCTTAACCATCCAGCAAAATCACACAACTTGAGCAGTATTTATCACAAAAAAATTGTAAGAAAAAAAAAAGAACAGCTGAATAACTAGGAACTTTTAAAAAATAAAAACTAAATCATTTTGATAAATACATGTTACAAAATTTGGAAGGAGAGGGTATTCAATTGGTATTGGAACAATTCAAAACCATTGCATGAGAGGGGGATACTACCAAGTGTCTAGTCACTAGTCAAGCCCCAAGAGGGACTATTAAATTTCATTCAGACTCAAGTTTAAATTCTTAGCGGCAAGGGATGACTTATATCAACTAATAATGCAAGCTACTAGTCGACAAAAGGGCTTTCGGCCACTGCAAATTGGATCCTCTGATCAAAACAAAACAAGTGCGCTCTTTAAAAATATAATGTATTTTTTTATTTTTATTTTTGGAAATATTTCATTAATTCATCGCTTCGCGACTAATCCGATTCAGGACAGGTTCAGGATTAAAGTTTTAAATTTCTTCCAAAAATAATACTGGAAACAGATACTCTCATTCATTTGGTAAAACATATCATGAATGCGGTGCAATGATATATGACTTGAAAAGGAAATACTTCCCCATTGGGAAAGCTTCTTTTCCCTTCTCAACCTTTGAGGTTCTTGCGGCTCACCTTTGAAAGGTAAACCCTCTATATGAATAGTTAACTAAACACATGAATAATTATCTCAACTTTAGCCCCTAAAACCCTTACAGAGTCTAAACACGATACTTAACTAAAACATGAATACTTTCAACACTCCTATCATACACAAAATAGAACTTAAATTTCTAGTCACATGTTTCAAAATTCGTATTGTTGCAATGTTAAAGTTCATGCTTCTAAGTAGTCTCACCTCAGTACCATGTCCATATAAGTTTATCCTAGCCACCTAATTCGAAAATAGGTTGCCTGCAATTTCATTTATCTGACGGAGTTGATAATATTGCCATAGGAATTGGGCTATCCCATTTTGTTGAGTTCAAGTTAATGTACTTAGAAACATTGAAACCTATGTGATACTTCTGTCCCCTAGTCCTTATAACGGTAGATGCAATGAAATCCGGTTTACTATACTAAGAAAGCTAACAAGATTGATAACGTAACTTACTGAAAAGACTAAAGCTTAAGAGTCACATAGAACAAATCACACATGATCTTAAGTTAACAGAAGTTTAAATAATTTAATTTGTTTTATTTACAAAGTTATTGTTGTTAGAGAGATATAAAATCATTGATATAACTTCACATAATATTATAAGGTTTTGAGTCGAAATAATTCTTTATATGGTATCAGAGTTGGAGTAATCAAGTGATCACTAGGTTGATCTCCATCGCCTCCACTTTGTGATAGAATTAAGTAAGCGTAAACAAAAAATAGACCTGTACGGTTGTACAGCACAAGATAAAAAAAAAAAAATAGATCTGCGTACACTACAAAAAACAAGGCTTACAGGGACATTAGTTTAACCACATTTATTAAAATGTTGATAAAAATCCGAAAATACCCCTGATTAGCCACACTATTTTCAAAATGAAGTAAAATTATTTTTGAGTTTTTTATTATCTTTTATTTCTAAAAAATATTTTTCATTTCTATTCACTACTCTATTACTCTGTTCTATTAGGGATAAACACTAAAGTCTATCCTCCTTCTTTAGGCTTGGAACTCAGTTCCTTTCTTTAGGCTTCAAATCGTGGTAGAATTTCTCAGTGCTAAGATGACTCTAGTTTTAGATCCTTACAGATCTATGAATGTTCACAATATTTTTTAGTATTATATATTTTTATTTAATTATTTTTGAAATTTCAGGTTTACGTTTCATCTCTATGATTCGAAGTGCCGATCTCAGATCTAGTTTTTTCATGCAATTTTAAGGTTCTGAAATTATAGTGGAACTTTAGTTTTTAGGGCTCTGAAGTTAACTCTCTCTCATAGTCAGGTACTCTCTCTCGTTTCTTCTGTTTCAATAAGTTCTGTATATTTGTAATACTTAGTTAAAATTTACTTCTCATCGATTTCGAACCCTGTGACGTGTTGCGTCTCAACTTGAAGCCTGCGCCACACCTTGCTCCATCGTCCACGGTGAGTTTCTTTCATTCTTTTTGCGGCTGTGATGTGAATTTTATTTTTAAATTTGCCTTCAGTTAGAAATTAGTATATCATCATATATTACTTGGCGACTGTGCTTTTATTCTATCGTATGCTTTTATTCTTAATCAATTTTTACTGGGTTTATGTTATATGATGATTTTTTTTTTCTGTTATGGTTGGTGTGAAACTTAATGTGTGAGGTTGCAAATTGCTGCAGATACTTATGTCCTGAGCCCTATCCACAAGAAAATCTAGAGTTTCTTCACTCACAAAATATTCTGCTCTTTCAATTTGGAATTGAGGGGAAGACGGTAATTTTAATTTCCCTTTTTGTTCTGTGATATTAACTTTCATAATCATCAGTTATGCTAAAACGTGTGTTCTTGTGTTTTAATGTTTGAAATCTGGGTTATCAGAAATTTGGTTCTCTTAGTTTTTCAAATTTTGAAGACAAATTTTTATTGAAATGTCAAGACATTCAGTTCGAGGTTTAAATTTGTTATGCAGTTCTTTTGCTACTCATCATGTCATGCTTTTATTCTATCGTATGCTTTTATTCTTAATCAATTTTTACTGGGTTTATGTTATATGATGATTTTTTTTCTGTTATGGTTGGTGTGAAACTTAATGTGTGAGGTTGCAAATTGCTGCAGATACTTATGTCCTGAGCCCTATCCACAAGAAAATCTAGAGTTTCTTCACTCACAAAATATTCTGCTCTTTCAATTTGGAATTGAGGGGAAGACGGTAATTTTAATTTCCCTTTTTGTTCTGTGATATTAACTTTCATAATCATCAGTATGCTAAAACGTGTGTTCTTGTGTTTTAAATTTTTGAAATCTGGGTTATGAGAAATTTGGTTCTCTTAGTTTTTCAAATTTTGAAGACAAATTTTTATTGAACTGTCAAGACATTCAGTTCGAGGTTTAAATTTGTTATGCAGTTCTTTTGCTACTCATCATGTCATAGTTTTATATTTATTCATCTATTTGGGAAAAGGGGAATCTGGATTTTTTCTAAAATAAGTTTTGGTGTCAAGTGATTTTTTTGTAGAGCACAATAGCTGCAAAAGTTTTTTTACACATGGCTGTGCATTATGGAAGACTGGTTTTACTGTTATGATTGCATTAAACAATGGAACTAATGATCATGTTCATGAAATTTGATGCATATGGATTAAGGACTCAAATTTTGGTCTCCCTGTTAGATTTTTTTGATTCCAGAGCTAACGAGTCTTTGTATTATTCGCAGGAAGTTTCTTTGCCTATTCTCAAGGATTCTATCATGGAGGCTCTGAAAGTTTTAATTGGTACTGAATTGTAACAATCTCCTTCAACTTTGTGATGCAGTTTTTTGTGAATATCCCCAGCTTTTAATTGAAAGTAGACAACAAACACAGGTATGCTTTTATTCTATCAAAAGATTCAGCAATCAACTAAAATTGCAAAGTAAATAACAGTTTAAATAAAGTGAAGAGAGTAATTTAATAAATAATTAAAAGTAATTTTGTGATGCAATATGATGCAGGAACAGGTATGGTTGGATACCTACTCCTATCCAATGTCTAAATTTTAAACAAGTTTTCTTCTCTTGGCTTAGCATTATTTTCTTAGCTTTACTTCTTTTCTTTAATTTTTGGTATATATTAAAGATAAGAACCATTAGTCATTGATGGTTCATTTGCCTATAAGCTAAAAATGTGGATTTAAGGGGAAGTTGCATGCCCCCTGTACTCTTTGGTTCTCAGATTTGACAAATTCTAATAAATATTTATTAGTAAATATTTTGAACTTTATCATGAAGCTGGCCCACGCCTTTATGATTTTAAACCGGTGATGGGGTTACGCTTTCAAGTATGTCATATGTATCCTTTATTACCTGTGCTGATTATAAAGTGTATATTTAAACATTGCTAATTGTATAATGATTCCATGTACTGATTAGCTTAATGAAAGTTGTTTCTAGATATAACATAAAAATATATTGTGAGGAGAATAACATAAAAATTAGGTCAATAAAAGTAAGAAAGTGGATGTTTTTATTTAATTTAAAATATATTGTGAATTTTTACCAAAAAAAAAATATTGTTACCTTATATATGTCCATAGGAGGCAGGAGATTTCAGCCGTGTAGATTGGCTCAGTATACAAATCTTGGAGGTGTGACCATCGACTCAATATATAAAGTGATCAGCATCTAAAGGTATTTTCTAAAGTGAATTTTATTTTATTTTAATATTTTATTATTAGATATTTTAAATGCCTTTTGATTCGATTTAAATTAAATTTGAAAACAGATTTAACTAATTATGATCGATAAGAGTTGGATTGAGAAGCCACTTAGATCAAAAGAGTACCTATATGGGGTAGTCCAATTTTTGGACTTTGCCTTTTCAAACGCATCTATTAATGGACAAATTTTATGTCCTTGCATTAAGTGTGGATTTCGTAGTATGTGTGATAAAACTGAAGTGTTAAGTCATCTACTTCAAAAGGGTTTTCCAAGAAAGTACACATTTTGGTACATGCATGGGGAAAAACATATTCAATCCAATGTTGAAGAAGCACAAGCACGCGAAGACCCAATTAGACAATATCCAATGCAAGATATGTTAAATGATGTTTTTGGTGTCTTTGATGATCATGGAATTGAAGATTCTGACACATCAAATCAACCTAATGGCGACCACACTGGGGGTACAAAAGATGCCAGTAAAGAAGAGTTAGAAAAAATTAAAGAATTGCTAAGGGATGGGAATCAAGAACTCTATGATGGTTGCACAAAATATAGCAAATTGTCATTCATTGTTCGGTTGTATCATATAAAAGTCTTATGTGGTGCAACTGATAAAACATTTTCTTTGATTATTGAACTTTTAAATGATGCTTTTCCCCATGCTAAATTGCCAACATCTTTCTATGAGGCAAAAAAGATGATTAAAAGGTTGGGTCTAAGCTATGATAAGATTCATGCATGTCCAAAAAATTGCATGTTATTTTGGGGTTCACCGGAGGCTGAGAAGATGGATAAATGCGAGAAGTGCAACACATCCAGATGGAAATCAAATGAAAATGATGGTGGTGCAAATAATATGATGGACGACACAAAGAAGAAAAAAACAAAACCAGCAAAAGTATTGCGATACTTTCCACTTATACCTAGATTGCTGAGACTATACATGTGCTCTAAAACTGCAGAGCAGTTGAAATGGCATGCTACGGGGGTAAACCCAGATGGGTTATTAAGGCATCCTAGAGATAGTAAAGCCTGGAAGGAATTTGACTTATTGTATCCGGATTTCGCTTCAGAGCCGCGTAATTTACGAATTGCATTAGCTACCGATGGTTTCAATCCATTTGGAACTTTAAGTTCCAATAATAGCATTTGGCCAGTGATGTTGTATATTTATAACTATCCTCCGTGGTGTTGTATGAAGCAAACTTCTCTTATCATGTCAATGATAATTCCTGGTCCTAAGATGCCTGGCAATAATATTGATGTTTACCTGCAGCCCCTAGTTGCAGAATTACAAAAATTATGGATTGGTGTAGATGCTTATGATTCCTCTACTGATGAAATGTTTCAAATGCGTGCTTCATTGTTTTGTACTATAAGTGACTTTCCAGGTCTTGACAACTTATCTGGGTGGAATACACATACATTGCTTGCTTGTCCATCATGTAATTTTAACACAGAATCTAAAAGGTTGAAGTTTGGTAGAAAAAATTGTTTCATGGGGCATCGTCGGTATTTGTCACCTGATCACAAGTACAGATACAACAAACATTCCTTTGATGGTTCTACTGAACTTAGGCCTGCGCCTATTCCACCATCAGGTTCAGACATGTTAAGACAAATTGAGGTGAGTCAAAAAAGGGTTGAGGATGAAGGTACAAGTGAGATTGGCCCACAACAATGGAAGAAAAAGAGTATCTTTTGGGATCTACCGTATTGGGAGCATAACCTCATTCGTCATTGCCTTGATATGATGCATATAGAAAAAAATGTTTGTATGGGAATTAGAGAAAAGCTTCATCCATATCCTAATTCCTCTAAGTTTCCTCCATCATGCTTTAAAATGAAGAATTTGGAGAAAGATATCTTCCTAAAAGTTCTAAAGAATGTGATTTTCCCTGATAATTACTCATCAAACATTTCTAGATGCATTGACATTAAGAAACGCAAGATCTCTGGTTTAAAGAGTCATGATTCACACATTCTGATGGAGCATCTTTTGCCAATTGCCTTAAGAAGAACTCTTCCTAAAGAAGTTACTTCTATTTTGATTGAGCTATGTAACTACTTTAGAGAAGTATCAAGCAAAGTTTTAGATGTCAAGTATTTAGAGAAACTACAACAACGAATTGCTTTGACCCTTTGCCACATATTTTAATGATTTTTCTTTTATAAGATTTGTTTTCTTTTATTGTTAG